CCCCCAATGAAAAGCAGGGGTGTCACTAGCACGTTAAGAGACCATACAATAAGTGTCAGGGGCCCGAGACTGTTCAACTGCCTCCCAGCATACATAAGGGGGATTACCAACAGACCCCTGGCAGTCTTCAAGCTGGCACTGGACAAGCACCTAAAGTCGGTTCCTGATCAGCCGGGCTGTGGCTCGTACGTTGGTTTGCGTTCAGCCAGCAGTAACAGCCTGGTTGATCAGGCTCTGATCCACCAGGAGGCCTGGTCACAGACCGGGCCGCGGGGGCGTTGACCCCCGGAACTCTCTCCAGGTAAACTCCAGGTAAACTGAGGCACAGTGTCTGCCTACTGAGGCACAGTGTCTACCTACTGAGGCACAGTGTGTACCTCCTGAGGCACAGTGTCTGCCTACTGAGGCACAGTGTCTACCTACTGAGGCACAGTGTCTACCTACTGAGGCACAGTGTCTGCCTACTGAGGCACAGTGTCTACCTACTGAGGCACAGTGTCTACCTACTGAGGCACAGTTACCATTTTGTCCTAGGCACATGTCGATTAGACACTAGGCCTGTTGTATTTGCGAGTGTGTGTGTGTGTGTGTGTGTGTGTGTGTGTGTGTGATTTAATTTAGAATACATGGCTAGCATGTATGGTAAAGAGGTGTGAGGTTGATTAACATGTGAATAACACAATCCGGGGCTAGTGACGTCACTAGCTGGGCTAGTGATATCACTAACTAGGCCGGTGACATCACTAACTAGGCCGGTGACATCACTAACTAGGCTGATAACATCAGTAACTGGGCTGGTAACATCACTAAGCTGATAACATTGATAACTGGGCTGTTAACATCACTAATTAGGCTGGTGGCATCAGTAACTAGGCTGATGACGTCACTAACTAGGCTGGTGACATTAGTAACTGGGCTAATGACATAACTAACACACTTAACCTGTTAACCGTCCACCAACTATTCGTAACTATCCATAATAAGCTGACAAAATAATCGAAAAGCTCGTTCTTCTCCAAACTTTCAAAGTTAGTAGGTAATAACTAGGGATTATTGTCAATATACAGGTGAACTACATACATCTCTACAGTTTAAAAACAACAGTAATAATAATACGTTAAACACTATAACATTTACAGAGAAAAAACAAGGAGAGAGGAGTGCAGTTTGTTCCTCGCTGTTCTAGCTTCACCCCTCAAGGAAGGTTCCTTGGTGTTGGTGAGGGGCTCTTGATTTAGGGAATTGGATCTGTGCTCCAGTTCCCCGAATTAAGCCTGAATGCCTTCCACATCCCCCCCCAGGCGCTGTATAATCCTCCGGGTTTAGCGCTTCCCCTTGATTATAATAATAATAATAATATCGTCCGGTTGCCATGGTTCAGCAATTTCCACACGACTTCACCCACCAACTCCAGAACTGACTCTAAAACCTACAGTATCTTTCGGGACTCTTTCAGAAGTCCAACACAATCCCTGAATTGAGCCTGTTTACCTTCCCCCCCCCCCCACATGCGCTGTATAATCATACGGGTTTAGCGCTCCCCAAGATTACAATAATATGTATGCAGCCTAATCTGGAATAAATATACCTGGAGCAGTGTGCTATGCTAGCTGAGGATTGTTGAAGAGTCGTCAGTCTGGCTCTAGCTACCTGAGGATTATAACTCTGCTCTCTGGAATCATCCAGGCAGACCACAAGTTCAGATTTATTAAGGCTGTATATCTTTGGTGGCAGACATGCAGTAGCGGCCACGCCTGAATGTCAAACAGGAAGTCTGCACACAACCAGGTAAGAGTGAATCCGGTCAGTTTCAGGAGCTAAGATTCGACTCCAGTAATCGCAGATCAATGCGTACAAATAGATGGGTACATACACAGTACACACACACATGATAATCTTAATTACTGAAGACAGGACATCACTAGCACAGATCTGCTACTGCAACAGATAAGCAATTGCGCATATGCCGACTCCTCCCGCACCACCAACACAGGTCTCTCAACACCCACCGCAGCGCTGTATAGCCCTTGTGGCTTAGCTCTTCATTTTGATTATAATAATAATCAACACCCACCACCAACGTCAGCCTCAACATCCCCTCCCCGCTCTCACCACCAACCCGGATGTCTTCTGTCCCACTCCCAGTTGATGTACATAATTTTGCTTAATTAAAAATGCTCCATATTACAAGCAAGTCAACCTGCAGAGAATGAGAAAGAAAAGTACCACCAGCACAAACAATCAAGGGGTTGCAGGGGTCGAGTCTTAGCTCCTGTGTGTGTGTGTGTGTGTGTGTGTGTGTGTACGTACTCACCTAGTTGTACTCGCCTAGTTGAGGTTGCAGGGGTCGAGTCCAAGCTCCTGGCCCCGCCTCTTCACTGGTCGCTACTAGGTCACTCTCCCTGAACCATGAGCTTTATCATACCTCTGCTTAAAGCTATGTATGGATCCTGCCTCCACTACATCGCTTCCCAAACTATTCCACTTCCTGACTACTCTGAGGCTGAAGAAATACTTCCTAACATCCCTGTGATTCATCTGTGTCTTCAGCTTCCAACTGTGTCCCCGTGTTGTTGTGTCCAGTCTGGAACATCCTGTCTTTGTCCACCTTGTCAATTCCTCTCAGTATTTTGCAAGTCGTTATCATGTCTTCCCTATCTCTCCTGTCCTCCAGTGTCGTCAGGTTGATTTCCTTTAACCTCTCCTTGTAGGACATACCTCTTAGCTCTGGGACTATTCTTGTTGCAAACCTTTGCACTTTCTCTAGTTTCTTCACGTGCTTGGCTACCTGGAGTTTACCTGGAGAGAGTTTCGGGGGTCAACGCCCCCGCGGCCCGGTCTGTGACCAGGCCTCCTGGTGGATCAGCGCCTGATCAACCAGGCTGTTGCTGCTGGCTGCACGCAAACCAACGTACGAGCCACAGCCCGGCTGATCAGGAACTGTCTTTAGGTGCTTGTCCAGTGCCAGCTTGAAGACTGCCAGGGGTCTGTTGGTAATCCCCCTTATGTGTGCTGGGAGGCAGTTGAACAGTCTCGGGCCCCTGACACTTATTGTATGGTCTCTTAACGTGCTAGTGACACCCCTGCTTTTCATTGGGGGGATGGTGCATCGTCTGCCAAGTCTTTTGCTTTCGTAGTGAGTGATTTTCGTGTGCAAGTTTGGTACTAGTCCTGACATCCTTGTCTATGTCGGATATGAGGATGAGGAACAAGATGGGAGCTAGTACTGTGCCTTGTGGGTTCCAAACTGGTGCCGCATACTCCAATATGGGCCTAATGTACACAGTGTACAGGGTCCTGAACGATTCCTTATTAAGATGTCGGAATGCTGTTCTGAGGTTTGCCAGGCGCCCATATGCTGCAGCAGTTATTTGGTTGATGTGCACTTCAGGAGATGTGCCTGGTGTTATACTCACCCCAAGATCTTTTTCCTTGAGTGAGGTTTGTAGTCTCTGGCCCCCTAGACTGTACTCCGTCTGCAGTCTTCTTTGCCCTTCCCCAATCTTCATGACTTTGCACTTGGTGGGATTGAACACCAGGAGCCAATTGCTGGACCAGGTCTGCAGCCTGTCCAGATCCCTTTGTAGTTCTGCCTGGTCTACCTACTGAGGCTCAGTGTCTAACTACTGAGGCACAGTGTCTACCTACTGAGGCACAGTGTCTACGGTGGTCTGGTGGCTAAAGCTCCCGCTTCACACACGGAGGGCCCGGGTTCGATTCCCGGCGGGTGGAAATTCCGACACGTTTCCTTACACCTATTGTCCTGTTTCCTTACACCTATTGTCCTGTTCACCTAGCAGCAAATAGGTACCTGGGTGTTAGTCGACTGGTCTGGGTCGCATCCTGGGGGACAAGATTAAGGACCCCAATGGAAATAAGTTAGACAGTCCTCGATGACGAACTGACTTTCTTGAACATTATCCTGGGTGGCTAACCCTCCGGGGTTAAAAATCCGAACGAAATCTTATCTTATCTTACCTACTGAGGCACAGTGTCTGCCTACTGAGGCACAGTGTCTGCCTACTGAGGCACAGTGTCTGCCTACTGAGGCACAGTGTCTACCTACTGAGGCACAGTGTCTGCCTACTGAGGCACAGTGTCTACCTACTGAGGCACAGTGTCTACCTACTGAGGCACAGTGTCTACCTACTGAGGCACAGTGTCTACCTACTGAGGCACAGTGTCTACCTACTGAGGCACAGTGTCTACCTACCTACCTACAGGCGACGGAAAAGAATAACAGAGCGGCTAAAAGAGGTCAATATACCTGAAATGCGTAGGGAGACACTGGTCAGAGAAATAGCAAGCATCGAACTTAAGCTAAAAGAATCCTTTAGGAGTCAGGAATCGCAGGAAGAACTAAAAGCCATAAATGAAATCGAAAGAAACCCAAAGTATTTCTTCTCCTATGCCAAATCAAAATCGAGAACAACGTCCAGTATTGGGCCCCTACTTAAACAAGATGGGTCCTACACAGATGACAGCAAGGAAATGAGTGAGCTACTCAAGTCCCAATATGACTCAGTTTTTAGCAAGCCGCTAACCAGACTGAGAGTCGAAGATCAAAATGAATTTTTTATATGAGAGAGCCACAAAATTTGATTAACACAAGCCTATCCGATGTTATCCTGACGCCAAATGACTTCGAACAGGCGATAAATGACATGCCCATGCACTCTGCCCCAGGGCCAGACTCATGGAACTCTGTGTTCATCAAGAACTGCAAGAAGCCCCTATCACGAGCCTTTTCCATCCTATGGAGAGGGAGCATGGACACGGGGGTCGTCCCACAGTTACTAAAACAACAGACATAGCCCCACTCCACAAAGGGGGCAGTAAAGCAACAGCAAAGAACTACAGACCAATAGCACTAACATCCCATACCATAAAAATCTTTGAAAGGGTCCTAAGAAGCAAGATCACCACCCATCTAGAAACCCATCAGTTACACAACCCAGGGCAACATGGGTTTAGAACAGGTCGCTCCTGTCTGTCTCAACTATTGGATCACTACGACAAGGTCCTAAATGCACTAGAAGACAAAAAGAATGCAGATGTAATATATACAGACTTTGCAAAAGCCTTCGACAAGTGTGACCATGGCGTAATAGCGCACAAAATGCGTGCTAAAGGAATAACAGGAAAAGTCGGTCGATGGATCTATAATTTCCTCACTAACAGAACACAGAGAGTAGTCGTCAACAGAGTAAAGTCTGAGGCAGCTACGGTGAAAAGCTCTGTTCCACAAGGCACAGTATTCGCTCCCATCTTGTTCCTCATCCTCATATCCGACATAGACAAGGATGTCAGCCACAGCACCGTGTCTTCCTTTGCAGATGACACCCGAATCTGCATGACAGTGTCTTCCATTGCAGACACTGCAAGGCTCCAGGCGGACATCAACCAAATCTTTCAGTGGGCTGCAGAAAACAATATGAAGTTCAACGATGAGAAATTTCAATTGCTCAGATATGGTAAACATGAGGAAATTAAATCTTCATCAGAGTACAAAACAAATTCTGGCCACAAAATAGAGCGAAACACCAACGTCAAAGACCTGGGAGTGATTATGTCGGAGGATCTCACCTTCAAGGACCATAACATTGTATCAATCGCATCTGCTAGAAAAATGACAGGATGGATAATGAGAACCTTCAAAACTAGGGAGGCCAAGCCCATGATGACACTCTTCAGGTCACTTGTTCTATCTAGGCTGGAATATTGCTGCACACTAACAGCACCTTTCAAGGCAGGTGAAATTGCCGACCTAGAAAATGTACAGAGAACTTTCATGCCGCGCATAACGGAGATAAAACACCTCAATTACTGGGAGCGCTTGAGGTTCCTAAACCTGTATTCCCTGGAACGCAGAAGGGAGAGATACATGATTATATACACCTGGAAAATCCTAGAGGGACTAGTACCGAACTTGCACACGAAAATCACTCACTACGAAAGCAAAAGACTTGGCAGACGATGCACCATCCCCCCAATGAAAAGCAGGGGTGTCACTAGCACGTTAAGAGACCATACAATAAGTGTCAGGGGCCCGAGACTGTTCAACTGCCTCCCAGCACCCATAAGGGGGATTACCAACAGACCCCTGGCAGTCTTCAAGCTGGCACTGGACAAGCACCTAAAGTCAGTTCCTGATCAGCCGGGCTGTGGCTCGTACGTTGGTTTGCGTGCAGCCAGCAGCAACAGCCTGGTTGATCAGGCTCTGATCCACCAGGAGGCCTGGTCACAAACCGGGCCGCGGGGGCGTTGACCCCCGGAACTCTCTCCAGGTAAACTCCAGGTAAACTGAGGCACAGTGTCTACCTACTGAGGCACAGTGTCTACCTACTGAGGCACAGTGTCTACCTACTGAGGCACAGTGACTACCTACTGAGGCACAGTGTCTACCTACTGAGGCACAGTGTCTACCTACTAAGGCACAGTGTCTACCTACTGAGGCACAGTGTCTACCTACTGAGGCACAGTGTCTACCTACTGAGGCACAGTGTCTACCTACTGAGGCACAGTGTCTACCAACTGAGGCACAGTGTCTACCTACTGTACAATGTCATAAGCACTACGTTACTCTTCATAATATTTTGCCTTGACAAAAAAGCTGAAAGATAGACTGCAAGTCAGCCAGAACAAGTTGGTGAGACTCATCCTGGACCTGAGTCCGAGAGAACATGTATGTCTGGGTCCAAGAGAACATGTAGGTCTGGGTCCAAGAGAACATGTAGGCCTGGGTCCAAGAGAACATGTAGGTCTGGGTCCAAGAGAACATGTAGGTCTGGGTCCAAGAGAACATGTAGGCCTGGGTCCAAGAGAACATGTAGGTCTGGGTCCAAGAGAACATGTAGGTCTGGGTCCAAGAGAACATGTAGGTCTGAGTCCGAGAGAACATGTAGGTCTGGGTCCAAGAGAACATGTAGGTCTGGGTCCAAGAGAACATGTAGGTCTGGGTCCAAGAGAACATGTAGGTCTGGGTCCAAGAGAACATGTAGGCCTGGGTCCAAGAGAACATGTAGGTCTGGGTCCAAGAGAACATGTAGGCCTGAGTCCGAGAGAACATGTAGGTCTGAGTCCAAGAGAACATGTAGGTCTGGGTCCAAGAGAACATGTAGGCCTGGGTCCAAGAGAACATGTAGGCCTGGGTCCAAGAGAACATGTAGGCCTGGGTCCAAGAGAACATGTATGCCTGGGTCCAAGAGAACATAAAGGCCTGGGTCCAAGAGAACATGTAGGCCTGGGTCCAAGAGAACATGTAGGCCTGGGTCCAAGAGAACATGTAGGCCTAGGTCCAAGAGAACATGCAGACCTGGGTCCAAGAGAACATGTAGGCCTGGGTCCAAGAGAACATGTAGGCCTGAGTCCAAGAGAACATGGTGGCCCGGTGGCCTGGTGGCTAAAGCTCCCGCTTCACACACGGAGGGCCCGGGTTCGATTCCCGGCGGGTGGAAACATTTCGACACGTTTCCTTACACCTGTTGTCCTGTTCACCTAACAGCAAATAGGTACCTGGGTGTTAGTCGACTGGTGTGGGTCGCATCCTGGGGGACAAGATTAAGGACCCCAATGGAAATAAGTTAGACAGTCCTCGATGACGCACTGACTTTCTTGGGTTATCCTGGGTGGCTAACCCTCCGGGGTTAAAAATCCGAACGAAATCTTTCTCCTTCTTCCTACCTGGGTCCAAGAGAACATGTAGGCCTAGGTCCAAGAGAACATGCAGACCTTGGTCCAAGAGAACATGTAGGCCTGGGTCCAAGAGAACATGTAGGCCTGGGTCCAAGAGAACATGTAGGCCTGGGTCCAAGAGAACATGCAGACCTGGGTCCTTACACCTGTTGTCCTGTTCACCTAACAGCAAATAGGTACCTGGGTGTTAGTCGACTGGTGTGGGTCGCATCCTGGGGGACAAGATTAAGGACCCCAATGGAAATAAGTTAGACAGTCCTCGATGACGCACTGACTTTCTTGGGTTATCCTGGGTGGCTAACCCTCCGGGGTTAAAAATCCGAACGAAATCTTTCTCCTTCTTCCTACCTGGGTCCAAGAGAACATGTAGGCCTAGGTCCAAGAGAACATGCAGACCTTGGTCCAAGAGAACATGTAGGCCTGGGTCCAAGAGAACATGTAGGCCTGGGTCCAAGAGAACATGTAGGCCTGGGTCCAAGAGAACATGCAGACCTGGGTCCAAGAGAACATATAGGCCTGGGTCCAAGAGAACATGTAGGCCTGGGTCCAAGAGAACATGTAGGCCTGGGTCCAAGAGAACATGCAGACCTGGGTCCAAGAGAACATGTAGGCCTGGGTCCAAGAGAACATGTAGGCCTGGGTCTATGAGAACATGTAGGCCTGGGTCCAAGAGAACATGTAGGCCAGGATAAATTACAACAATTGGATATGCTGAATGCTGAAGACAGAGTAAAACAACTGAAGATAAAGTTTATAAAATTTCTGACAGTGTCTAGAATATCTTGCTGCCAATTTTGTCAAGGCTGAGAACCACAGCAATCATAGTACTAGAGGGAGAGAACACAGCATTGTAGTAGCCACAGTCAGTGGCCAGGCTTCAAACACCTTTAAAGGAATGGAACTTACTGTCTGGACATGTCAAAACCAGTCATAACATGAACCATAAAATCCTTAGTGTTAAGTAGTCTGTAAGCCAATAATGTTAAGTTGGCCCATAATGCCTAGGCATAATAGAGGCTCTTTTTGCATTGCAACCCACTATTGTAAATATAAAATCTCAATGTACTGTTTACAAAGACATAAATAAATAAATAAATAAAAAGACAGCCAGAAGGTACCTAATGAATGTAGCCACAGAAAGAGAGAAGAATGATTTTTTTATTTTTTAACTAACTCATTTTACCTTATTCCTAGTATATCTCCTTTATACTATAATAAGATATTATCTCCTTTATAATGTAATAATAAGGTATTAAAAGACCCCAATGGAAATAGGCCTCTTTGACATTTTTGTGTTATCCCAGGTTCTCTACACATATACTACTATGTATAATAATCTATATATCTGTATTTATGTATACATGAATAAACTTACTTACTTACTTACTTATAAACCCAGAATATGATTCAATTATGAACGGTGGTGCGCGCGCGCGTGCGCGGACCACCATGGTGAAAATAACCCTGAGAGTAACACATGATAACATGGTGTAGCTGGGGGAAGACTCTCTTCTACCTCATATTTCTCCATTCCCCGGGCCTGGCGGCGGCAGTATGGACCATAGGTGCAGGAAGCGTGTCAGGGAGGCCAAGAAGAAGGCTAGGCCAGGTGATTAATGGGGGAGAAATGGTCTTCTTTGGGGTGATCTATGGGTGGTGGTTACATGGCATGTGGCACGTAACGCTTCAACACTCTTGGAGGGTTTTGATCCAAGGGGGTGGAGATGGAGGGGGTGTCTTTTTCCCCCCCATTCCTTTCCTTGGATCAAAGTAGGGTGCCTCTGTCTCACCTTACGTGTGGGTTTAGCGCTTTTCAATGAATATAATTGTGTGCGCTTTCAAAATGTTCCTACATTAGTTATTATTATTACTGCCATTATTATTATCATCATTACTGCCATTATTATTGTCATCATTACTGTCATTATCATCATTACTGCCTTTATTATCATCATTAATGCCATCATCATTACTGCCATTATTATTATTAATCATCATTACTGCCGTCATTATCATCATTAATGCCATCATCATTACTGCCATTACTATTATTAGTCATTATCATCATTACTGCCATCATTATCATCATTAATGCCATAATCATTACTGCCTTTATTGTCATTATTACTGTCATCATCATTACTGCCATTATCATAATTGCTGCCATCATTATCATTGTCATAATCATTATCACCATTACTGCCATTATCATTATCATCATTACTGCCATTATCATTATCATCATTACTGCCATTATCATTATCATCATTACTGCCATATCATTACTATCATTATCATCATTACTGCCATTATCATTATCATCATTACTGCCATATCATTACTATCATTATCATCATTACTACCATTATCATTATCATCATTACTGCCATATCATTACTATCATTATCATCATTACTGCCATTATCATTATCATCATTACTGCCATATCATTACTATCATTATCATCATTACTGCCATTATCATTATCATCATTACTGCCATATCATTACTATCATTATCATCATTACTGCCATTATCATTATCATCATTACTGCCATATTACTATCATCATTACTGCAATTATCATTATCATTACTACCATATCATTACTATCATTATTGACATTACTGCCATTATCATTATCATTATTGTCATTATGATTATTACTGCCATTATCATCATTACTGCCATAATCATTACTGCTATTATCATTACTGCCATCATTATCATCATTACTGCCATCATTATCATCATTACTGCCCTAATCATTACCATCATTGCTGTCATTATCATTGCTGTCATTATCATTGCTGTCATTATCATTACTGTGATTATCATTACTGTGATTATCATTACTGTCATTATCATTACTGTCATTATCATTATTGTCATTACTGCCATTATTATGATTGCTGCTGTTATCCTTACTGTCATTATCATCATTACTGCAATTATCATTACTGTCATCATCGTCATCATCGTCATCATCATCATTACTGCCATTATTATAAGAATTATAAGAAAATCAGTTAAACTGAACTTGCTACCTCTTTTCCCTGGCCATGTTTGGCCCTTATGGATATATACAGTGGAACCTCAAAAATCGAACTGCTCCCAACACGACCAATTATGTAAGTGTATTTTTGTAAGTGCTTTTATAAGTGTATTTTTGAGAGTCTGAAATGGACTAATCTAATTTACATTATTCCTGATGGGAATAAATTCATTCGGTAAAGGCACTCGAACAGCCTTCTGGACCGAAGAAAGTTCGATATTTGAGGTTCCACTGTGTTACTATACCTTGAATATAATAATAATAATAATTAATAATAATAATAATAATAATAATAATAATCACTACAAATTTCAACCATTCAAGGAAGGGGTAGGGGGTTATCCTTGATGCTGGCGAGAGGCACTTGATCCAAGGACTATGAGCTATTAGATCACATCTGTTCATCCCATTTCCCAGGTGCTGATGACCCTTACAGGTCACCTTATCTTGGTGGATGCTGATGGTGTTTAGGGTATAAGCAGTTTGGAGGAACGTCTAAACTGTCGTATCTGAGCGCCTCTGCACAGACAGTGATTATGTATGAATGATGGTGAAAGTGTTGAATGATGATGAAAGTTTTTCTTTCTTTTTGGGTCGCCCTGCCTCGGTGGGAAACGACCGACACGTTACAAAAAAAAAATACTACTGAAAATAGAAACTTAAAAACTACTTTAGGATAAACCATACCGCACGCAGGGTTAGAACTCATTACGATTTCGTGAGTCAAGTTACTTTAGGATAAGTTAAACATTGAGCATAGTTCTGCTACTATGGCTATATATAGGGAATCGTATAATCTCTTGTTATAAATATTTCTCTTCCTACAGAATTGTGTGTGGAAAAAGGAGTCTGGACTAAGCTGGATTATAAAAACAAGTTTGATTGCAGTCTTGATAAAATAAAGGATAATGCGGAACGTATCAGTGCAAATGAGGTTACGGTTGAAGAGTTTATAGAGCGTTATGAGAAGCCTTACAAGCCGGTGGTGATTAGAGGCATCACAGAAAATTGGAAGGCGCACTACAAATGGACATTAGAGGTGAGAAAGTCGTGTTTGACTCTGAGTTATCAGAGGTTAAAGTCTATGTAATTTGTTATGCTAGTAAGTGGCTCTTTAGTCCGAGGAATTCAAACTGACCTCCCTTTCCTTGGACTGAACCTGATTGCCTCCAATTCCCCAGGGCGTTGTATGACCCTACAGGTTTAACGTGGGGTAGGGGTCGTCCTCGAAAAGGTTGAAGGGAGGGGGTAAAGGAGGTTTTGTGGGCGAGGGGCTTGGACTTCCAGCAAGCGTGTGTGAGCGTGTTAGATAGGAGTGAATGGAGACAAATGGTATTTTTGACCTGACTGTCTGTTGGAGTGTGAGCAGGGTAATATTTATTGAAGGGATCCAGGGAAACTGGCTATTTTTATATAGCTGGACTTGAGTTCTGGAAATGGGAAATACAGTGCCTGCACTCTAAAGGAGGGGTTTGGGATATTAGCAGTTTGGAAGGATATGTTTGTGTTCTTTATACATGTATGCTTCTAAGCTGTTGTTCTGAGCACCTCTGCAAAAACAGTGATTATGTGTGAGTGTGGTGAAAGTGTTGAATAATGATGAAAGTATTTTCTTTTTAGGGATTTTCTTTATTTTTTGGGTCACCCTGCCTCAGTGGGAGATGGCCGACTTGTTAAAGAAAAATAATTTAGTATATTAAAGCATTGGAAAAATTATGAATTATATATGATACCAAAAATGCCTGACAGTTTATACTATTGGATTTGTTAATGATCTGCATAAGACTTCTGATACAGTTGAATAAAATATTCTTCACTTTTACTGCTGCTTCATATCCTACAGAACATACACCACCACATTCATCAACGACACATCCTCAACTACACATCCAGTTAAGTTAGGTGACCCATAAGGTAGCATCCTGGGCTCTCTTCTTTGCCTCTTTATTAGGGGTCCCTAATCTGCAGCCCGTGGGCTGCATGTGGCCCTTCTAGGAAATAAATGTGGCCCTCACATGAAGTTATGAATTCGCTTTTATGTAGGTTCCACACTGCACAGTGTCGACAAAATCGTGTGACTCTCGTCATACATTTGACCACCAAATGTGGCCCACTTGTGTAGGGAGGTTGAGGACCACTGCTTACCATTTGTGATGTATTATAAAAAAGCTTACCATTTTGTTACTTACGTATCGTCTTGAGAAAAAGTTAGCTTAATTAAATTTAAATATACAATAATGTTTTTCTTCCCATGACCTGACAGTTTAATAGCACTTTAAACTAGCCATTTGTGCCAGGGTGTGTTCAAAATTTTTTCATCTTACTATAAAACAAAACCAAAAATATAGTATATGGATTTTTTAATGTCAGTCTGTTTGACAGGATTGGATTATTATGCTATTGATGTGTATTTGCACCATATATATGCCCTTAGAACTTTTGTACAAATTTATACTACTGTCTGTAAAATCCTTTATAGATTTCCTGAATAAAGCTTATTTTAATCCTGCCTTTCAATATTCAGGTCTGTATATACAAGATATAAGATGTCCGCTAAGCTACATAAGGATAACAGTAAAACTTATAAACTACCAAAGAATATAGGAGATACCGTAACCTAGCGGAGAAAGTAAGCGTGATTTCGTTACTGCATTTTTAGCCCATTTTTGTGTAAAACATAATCTTAAGTGAACTTAATTATGCAGCACTGAATTGACAGTAAATATGTTGGAAGACATATTGCTTTAGTTGGTATTCCTTCTGAACTACCTAACAGTCTACCTTGATTTCACTTTGAGAACAATACCAGTAACTGCTTGAAGACTTGTAGCTCACTGGTAAACATTCAGCTCACAACCAAAGTTGCACAAGACCATATGAATGGAGGAGCTGTCCAGTAGGCCTACTGGCCCATGTGGGCAGGCTCTTTTGAAATTCATCCCTTTTACAATATTATTTGTAGAAAATATTGCTAAAGTTACCCAAGGTGTTAGCTTCATTGACTACTTGGCAGATTGTGCCATTTATCTCCAACTCTGTTGCTAAACTAGTGCTTTCCTATATAAGCACTTTGTAAATCTAAATCTATCCAACTGAAAACCATTATTAGGAGTACTTTCCAAGTTAGATATCCTCAGTATCTGTAAAGTAATAGCCTGCCATGCACTAGGACTTGATAGAATGGAAATGAGACTAAAAGGCAGTATAAAACAATCCTTTGTTGACATTGCACCCCCACAGTGGCATTTGTCAAGTCACAGATCTGTTTACGACTTGATAAAGCACACTGTGCAGGTGAAACATTGTTAATAAAGGATTGCATTATAGTGTGTTTGTGTCTCCTTTCCATTGTGTTGGTATTTTATACCATTTATCTCCATGTGATAGTTTATAGGTAAAGGAAGAGAGGGGTGTTATTCACCTCAAGTTTTCAATTTTGCAAAGAAATTTTGTTCATTACTGTACCAGTAAATAATGTTTGTGCTGTACCCTTTAACAGATGCTTAGAGGCTGCTGGAGCACTCTTGATATGAGGAATTATATCATGTATAGTATGAAAATCCTATAGACATGTTCTATCGATCTAGCAGTAGGTATGCTCTAGCCCTGTTTGCTGGTATAGGAGGAATGTCTCCATTCAGTGTGGTATATTGGAGGGTTTATCGGTAATCTAAGTAATTTTTACATAATTCATATTTAAAAGTGTAAGTGATAGCCATTACATTTTTCTGCAGGCATTTGGCCTGGATCTTCTTTTTTGTGAATTTCAACTAAATTTGCATTCTTTCATGGCATAGTATTCCCCTGTACTAGGTAAAGTGAGTAGGAGAGTTCTGAATCATCAGACCACATTTGATTCCTGTGTTCTGACAGGATTTATACAAGCAGCGCTGTATGATCTGAATGCGTTTAGCACTTTTTAGTAGCAGTAATAATAATAATAATAATAATACAGCCTCTCCTCACTTAATGAAGGAGTTCCATTCCTAAGACCATGTTGGTAAATGAGTTTCACTGAAGAGCATACTATAATGGTAGTGGGTTTGTGTCAACCATCTTTGATATTGTTTTAATGTCATCTTTTCACCATTTATAACATTTCTGGTATATTTTTAAATGTTTATACAGTAGCATACTGTATATTGTAATAAACAGAATAGAGGCAGTCAACTCTTAATATATATTATATAGGTATGCATACTGGTCAGAGAGCCCATTGGAAGTTCGAGTCATCGGTAAACTAGTACGTTGCTAAGTGAGGAGAAGCTGTAATAATAATAATAATGGGAATTCAAGCTGTGCAGTGCTTAAATCCATCAGCTTTTTTACATAGAGAGTTTAGTTTAATATGTTTATTATGTATCCCATACCCATCCTGTGGGTGGTAGTCAAAAGATTAGAGGTACATAATGGGTCCAGGGACTGGTACAAAGGTCCCCTCAAGGAAGGTTCCTTGATGTTGGTGAGGGGCTCTTGATTTAGGGAATTGGATCTGTGCTCCAGTTCCCCGAATTAAGCCTGAATGCCTTCCACATCCCCCCCCAGGTGCTGTATAATCCTCCGGGTTTAGCGCTTCCCCCTTGATTATAATAATAATAATGGTACAAAGGTAATGAAGCATTTACACTCCTATACATGGTTACAATCATGAACAAATTAAAAAGTAATGAGCCACTGACACATCCACACCCGGTCACAATTGTAACGAGTTATAAATACAAATATTAAGTGGGTCATACACCCACACGAGTGCATGCGCACACATACACAGATTGCAGAATGATACAGAGAAAACTTTAAAGAATGGTTCAGTAAATGATTTCTCAAGATCAGTCTTGATAATTACAAGGTAACAAGTATGAGAGGAGGGGAACAAGACAAGTAATATACCATGGAGAGGAAGGTTGCTGCCAGTTTTAACAAGAGAAGGGATTCGGGGAAACTGGTTAGCCAGACTTAAGTCCTGGAGGTGGGAAGTACAGTGCCTGCACTCTGAAGGAGGGGTGTCGATTTGTTGTGTAGGCACGCCTCTGGCAAGACAGTGATGGTTAATGATTAAATTGTTTCTTCTTTTTCGGGTCACCCTGCCTTCATGGGAAATGGCCAATATGTTAATAAATATAAACAAAAAAAGTGACTTCCATGAATCTCTTCGTATCTAAAGATTAAAGATTCTTTTTTTCAGCATGATACAATGTTTGTAGAGAGAGATGGGATATTTAAGTGTGCATGCAGAAAGCCCCTTTGTATGCAAAGCGTTTCAGGCAAGCCTAAGTCTATCTTAAAATTAATGCGACATATCCTATCACTCGAAGGAGGTTTAAGAATGTTCCTTTTTATTCCTTCCAGAGGCCTGCCCTTGAATCCCTTTCAGGGATGTGCCTTGTAGCTGGTGATGGGCTCTTGATCCTAGGAATAGAAGCTATCCTATTCCTAGGATCTATTTTACAGTTTTTACAATGTACGTATTTTTTTTCAACGAACTGGCTGTATCCCACCGAGGCAGAGTGATCTAAAAAGAAAAATGTCTGTTTTTCTTTTTTAATTTAGTAATTTATACAGGAGAAGGGGTTACCAGCCCCTTTCTCCCAATTTGTATTATGCAGACTGTTAATTTAGAATTACAATTCTATATATTTCTTTTCCAGAGACTAGCCAAAAAATACCGGAATCAGAAGTTCAAATGTGGAGAAGATAATGAGGGTTATAGTGTAAAGATGAAGATGAAGTATTATATTGAATATATGAAAACAACAGATGATGATAGTCCACTATACATTTTTGATAGTAGTTTTGGTGAAGTAAGTCATATACAGTACTTTGTTGAATGTTGTGTGTGTATATCAGTTTGTGTATGTATCTTTGTGTGTGTTTATATATGTGTGTTTTTTGTCTGTGTGTATATCATTGTGTTATGCGAGTGTCTGTATATATATATATATATATCTTCTTTCATCAAACTGGCCATATCCCACCGAGGCGGGGTGGCCCAAAAGAAAAAACGAAAGTTTCTCCTTTTACATTTAATAATATATACAGGAGAAAGGGTTACTAGCCCCTTTGCTCCCGGCATTTTAGTCGCCTCTTACAACACGCATGACTTAAGGAGGAAGAATTCTGTTCCACTTCCCCATGGAGGTAAAAGGAAATAGTCAAGAACAAGAACTAGAAAGAAAATAGAAGAAAACCCAGAGGGGTGTGTATGTATATATATGCTTGTACATGTATGTGGATGAGTTTGGGAATGTGTGTAAAGGTAGAAAGTTGAAAGTGAACATAGAAAAGAGTAAGGTGATGAGGGTATCAAATGATTTAAATGAAGAAAAATTGGATTTCAATTTGGAGAGGAGGAGTATGGAAGAAGTGAATGTTTTCAGATACTTGGGAGTTGACGTGTCGGCGGATGGTTTTATGAAGGATGAGGTTAATCATAGAATTGATACGGGAAAAATGGTGAGTGGTGCGTTGAGGTATATGTGGAGTCAAAAAACGTTATCTATGGAGGCAAAGAAGGGAATGGATGAAAGTATAGTAGTACCAACACTCTTATATGGATGTGAAGCTTGGGTGGTAAATGCAGCAGCGAGGAGGCGGTTGGAGGTAGTGGAGATGTCCTGTTGAAGGGCAATGTGTGGTGTAAATATTATGCAGAAAATTCGGAGTGTGGAAATTAGGAAAAGGTGTGGAGTTAATTAAAAATATTGTCAGAGGGCAGAGAGGGGTTGTTGAGGTGGTTTGGTCATTTAGAGAGAATGGATTAAAGTAGCATGACATGGAAAGCATATAAATCTGTAGGGGAAGGAAGGCGGGTAGGGTCGTCCTCGAAAGGGTTGGAGAGAGGGGGTAAAGGAGGTTTTGTGGGCGAGGGGCTTGGACTTCCAGCAAGCGTGCGTGAGCGTGTTAGATAGGAGTGAATGGAGACGAAAGATACTTGGGGACCTGACGATCTGTTGGGTGTGAGCAGGGTAATATTTGGTGAAGGGATTCGGGGAAACTGGTTATTTTCATATAGTCGGACTTGAGTCCTGGAAAGTGGAAGTACAATACCTGCACTTTAAAGGAGGGGTTTGGGATATTGGCAGTTTGGAGGGATATGTTGTGTATCTTTATACGTATATACTTCTAAACTGTTGTATTCTGAGCACCTCTGAAAAAACAGTGATAATGTGTGAGTGTGCGTGAAAGTGTTGGATGATGGATGAAAGCATTTTCTTTTGGGCGATTTTCTTTCTTTTTTGGGAGTCACCCTGGGGGGGGGCCCTCGTTGTGTGTGTGGTGTGTGTGTGGTATCTTTGTTTGTATATCAGTGTGTGTGTTCTGTCTGCATGTTTTTTTTTTTTTTTTTTTCCAACAAGTCGGCCGTCTCCCACCGAGGCAGGGTGACCAAAAAAGAAAGAAAAATCACCAAAAAGAATTACTTTCATCTTAACATCATTCAAACACTTTCACCACACTCGCACATTGTCACTGTTTTTGCAGAGGTGCTCAGAATACAACAGTTTTAGAAGCATATACGTATAAGATACACAACATATCCCTCCAAACTGCCAATTTCCCAAACCCCTCCTATAAAGTGCAGGCAATTGTACTCCATTTCCAGGACTCAGTCCGACTAAATGAAAATAAACCGGTTTCCCTGAATCCCTTCACTAAATATACCCTGCTCCAAACTCCAACAAGATTGTCAGGTACACAAGTACATTCGTTCAACATTCACTCCTATCTAACACGCTCACGAAGCTTGCTGGAAGGCCATGCCCTCGCCCACAAAACCTTCCCTACCCCCTCTCTCAACCCTTTCGGGACGGGACCCCTACCGCCTTCCTTCCCTATAGATTTTATATGCTTTCCCATGTCATTCTACTGTGATCCATTCTCTCTAATGACCAAACACCCTCAACAACCACTCTTCAGCCTCTGACTAATACTTTTATAATACTCCACACCTTTTACTAATTTCCACACTTCGGAATTTTCGCATTAAATTTAACACAACACATTGCCTTAAACAGGACATCTCACTGCCTAAACCGTTCTCCTCGGCTGCGGCATTTACCACCAAGCTTCACACCCATATAAGAGTGTTGGTACTATATAATTTTCATACATCCCTTCTTTGCCCTCCATAGAGATTAAACGTTTTTTTGACTCCACATATACCTCAAGCACCACTCACCTTTTTTTCCCTCATCAATTCTATGGTTAAATCATCCTTCATAAACCATCGCCGACACGTCAACTCCCATGTACAGTGGACCCCGCATAAGATTACCTCCGAATGTGGTCGAATTATGAAAGTGTATTTATGTAAGTGCGTTTGTTTTGTGTATGTTTGGGGGTCTGAAATGGATTAATTATTTCACAATGTTTCTTATGGGAACAAATTCGGTCAGTACTGGGGAAACCCGAACATACTTCTGGAGTGAAAAAAATATCGTTAAACGGGGGTCCCCTGTATCTGAAAACATTCACTTCTTCCATACTCCTCCTCCCCAATTTGATAATCAATTTTTCTTTTTCAAAATTCTTTTGACCCCTCTTCACCTTATTTTTTCCTATTTTCCCACTTTCAATTTTATCCCCCCTTTTCCCACTTCCCAAAACCTCATCCAAACAAACCCTTTGCAATTTTTTCTTTAGAATTCCCAAAAAGGCCCATTTTCCCTTCAGAAAAAAGAAAACTTTTGTCAATTCCCCCATTTTGAATTTGATTCCCCAAAATTTTTTCCCACCCCCTTTTCCCAAAAACCCCCTAAAATTTTTTCCTTTACAACCCCCCCATCTATAAATATTTTTAAACAACCATGGTGACTTTTTACACTTTCCCGGGTCAAAAGACCACTTTTAACCGGGAATTTGGGGGTTCTCCCTCTCTTCTAACACCCCCAAAACCTGAGCCTCACTTTCCTCAAAAAAACCCTCTTTACGGGCCTTTTTAATAACTTCCCACCAAATTCCCCCAAAAACCTTGCAACATCTCCCCACATTGCCCCCTCAAACCCCACTTTTATCTAGGCCTTTTCTAAATCCAAAAAATGCAATAAAAAATTTCCCCTCCCTTTTTATCTAAATACGGGGTTCCCCCCGACTAAATATTTTAAATTGTAAACCCCTTGGGGATCTACACATCCCCTACCCATTTCTAAAACCCCCCCCTTCCTTGCTCTTCCCCCAAATCCTACGTTCTGTCTTCCCTTTAAAATTTCTTTAAATTTTATAACCCAAACCTTTTGGGAACTTTTCCGGGTATACTCAAAAAACTTTTTCCCTCTAAAATTTTTACAGTTTTTTTGGGCCCCCCTTTCCCTTCCTTTTATAAGGGACATTTTAAAATTTGGCTCCCCCAAAATCCCTAGGTCCTTTTCCCCCTCTTTCATACTTTTAAAATTAAAAAAAAAGTACCAACCACTCCAACACAAATACCCCCCCGCTTTTAACATTTTTTGTCATGTTTCCCATATTTCCCAAAGTTTTAAACCCCCTTTCATTCTACGAAAATGCCTAAATTTAACCTCCACCAAAATTACATTCTGCTTTCTTCTTAAACCCCTTTAAAAGAGGGTTAAAAAACCCCCCTGCGTCCCCAATAAAATTTACCGCCCCCCCCTTTTTTTTCCCCTCAACTTTTTAAAATTTCCCCTAAAATATTCTGCCTTTATACCTAATACCCCCTCCTCCCCATCTACTAAACCCCCCAAACCCTCTTTTTTTAATGACAAATCCCATATTTTCCCCCCTTGGCTTTTTTAATTTGGGTTTAAAATTTAAACCCAAAATTTTTTTCTTATTTTATTAAAATTTCTTGCATTTGCCTCTCCCACTCTATCACCCTGTTCTCCTTTTGCACTCCCCTAAACCAAACCCCTTTTTTAAACCTTTCTTTTTTTTCTCCATATACTCTGCTCTTTTTTTAAAACACTTTGCTTTTTGAAAAAAAAATTCAAAAGGGCTCCCCTTTTTCTCTTTTATCACCCCCCTTTTCTTTCATTCCCCCAATCATTCCTTTTTTCCACCTCCCCCCCACCCCCCTTTAAAAAAACCAAAAACCCTTCTCCCCCCCACTTTTTTAAATTTAACTCCTTTTTTTTAAAAACTATTCCATCCCCCCTTAAACCCCCCCCCCCCCTTTTCATTTTTGCACTAGCCCCCCCTTTTCTGCCAATAGTCCCCTTTTTATCTAAACCCAAAACTTCCTCCCCCCTTTTGTTTATACACTTTCACCTCCCCCCTTCCCTTGTTGTTGCCCCCCCTTCCTTTTTTCCCCCATCTCCCTTTCTTACTCAAACTGCATTTATAACTAAAAAAATGATCCAATTTATCATTTTGCCCTCTTAAAACAGGGTAAAAATTCCCTGGACCCTCCCTTTCCAACCCTTTTACCACCAATAAAATAATCAAAACAAATACTTTTTTTTAAATTTCTAATCTACCCTGTATATTTAAATTTTACCCCTTTTTTTTCTTTTAAAATAGTATTACTTATTAAAAAAATTTTCTTTCTCCACAAGCCCCAATTTAAAAAGGCCCCATTTACATTTACCCCTGGCACCCCAAATTTACCTACTACTCCCTCCACAACGTTTTTACCCACTTTAGCATTGAAATCCCCAACCACCATTACTCTCACACTTGATTCAAAACTCCCCACGCATTCACTCAACATTTCCCAAAATCTCTCTCTCTCCTCTACACTTCTCTCTTCTCCAGGTGCATACACACTTACTATAACCCACTTTTCACATCCAATCTTTATTTTACTCCACATAATCCTTGAATTAATACATTTGTATTCCCTCTTTTCCTGCCATAGCTTATCCTTCAACATTATTGCTACTCCTTCTTTTGCTCTAACTCTATTTGAAACCCCTGACCTAATCCCATTTATTCCTCTCCATTGAAATTCTCCCACCCCCTTCAGCTTTGTTTCACTTAAAGCCAGGACATCCAGTTTCTTTTCATTCATAACATCCACAATCATCTCTTTCTTATTATTTGCACAACATCCACGCACATTCAGACTTCCCACTTTGACAATTTTCTTCTTCTTATTCTTTTTAGTAATCTTTACAGGAAAACGGGTTACTATCCCATTGTTCCCGGCATTTTAGTTGACTTTTACAACACGCATGGCTTACGGAGGAAAGATTCTTATTCCACTTCCCCATGGATATAAAAGGAAAAGTAATAAGACCAAGAACTATTAAGAGAAAATCAAAGAAAACTCAGATGAGTGTATATAAATAAACTTGTACATGTATGTGTAGTGTGACCTAAGTGTAAGTAGAAGTAGCAAGACATGCCTGTAATCTTGCATATTTATGAGACAGACAAAAGACACCAGCAATCCTACCATCATGTAAAACAATTACAGGCTTTCGTTTTACACTCACTTGGCAGGACGGTAATACCTCCCTGGGTGGTTGCTGTCTACCAACCTACTACATTAAACCAACCTAAGCATACATGTGTATATTATGGTTAGATATGACTTTCTAAGTAGATATTTGAAACATGTCAGACCACTTTTTGAAAGTATTTTTCTGTGGTAGTGGTTTTGAGAATTTGTGTATCAACTCTCAGAAAATTATTTTGTAGAATTTGGGTGGGTGGAATGGGTTATGTCTGGTCTTAATACCTGTAACCCTGGTGTAGCTAATACCTGTAACCCTGGTGTAGGTACAACCATTAATCTGCCTGCCTGGACTTACAAACGTGGCATAGTCATGACATCTCTTATTATTCGACTGTTCTTCCTGAAGAAAATAGAGCAGCATTTTAGTGGTATTAAATTCAGACCACCACTTAAGGGCCCTGTTAGCAATTTGGTTTAAGTGTCCTGAGTAGAGCTGCCTTGTCAGCTTGTAAATATTCAGCGAGCCACAAATATCCATGCCAAGGGAGTGGGGGAGACAGGGTTCTCTTTAAGTCTGTGAAGGACTCGTGGTACAAGGAATTGGAGCTGTCCTCCCCTTCCTTGGATCAAATCTGATTATCTCGCATTTCCAAAGTGCTTAATGTCTCCTACAGGCATAGTGCTTTCCCATGAATATAATAATTTATCTGGTATAGCCAAAGATGGCATATAATATTTTCATCACTGGATAATTATGCCCTGGTATTTTTATGATAACTAGTTAAAAAGATTTCTTTACTGTGGAGACTAGCTTAAGCTAAATAAGAATCATTAAAAATTTTGAAAGGTAATCCATTATAGTTAATGAGGCTTTTAATTACAGCCATACATAATTATGTCATCCCAATAAATTAAGACATGAAACTGCATTACTAAGTACTACAATATGTCTCTTTTATGATTAGTTTTGGAATCTTGCCATTTTTTCAAAAAGAAATGCAGGTCTTGTCAAAAAGCAAATGCAGTATAGCTTTGTTTATTTTATTGATTTTTCATGTTTATTGTAACTATAATCCTTTTCAGCTAAACACTTTATTTTTAATTTGTTTTAGCACGTTCGACGTAAAAAGCTCCTGGAGGATTATGAAGTGCCGAAGTATTTTCGGGATGACTTGTTTAAATATGCCGGTGAAGACCGGCGTCCTCCCTACAGATGGTTTGTTATGGGACCCTCTCGCTCTGGCACCGGTATTCATATAGACCCTCTGGGAACTAGTGCTTGGAATTCACTGTTGCGTGGACACAAACGGTTAGTCAGCTCCTTTGAATCCTCTTTTCTGTAGCTTGAATGTACAGTACATGTTTTTATAACACAACAGCCATCTCCCACTGAGGCAATGTGACTCAAAAGGGAAGAAAAGTAAAGTATTTTTTGTTTTATATTTAGCAATTTATACAGGAGCAGGAGTTACTAGCCCCTTATTCCCAGCATTTTAGTTGCCTCTTATGACATTCATAGCTTACATAGGAAGGATTCTTCTCCACTTCCCCGTGGAGTTACAGTACATGTATGTAATGTTTTTTCTTGAGATAAATCAAACACGTGCATAAGGTATCACCAAATATAACGACATTAACATTAAAGTACCTTATGTTAAAAAATGCACAAATAAAGATTTTTTAAATTTTTACAAAGATTCAGATGATGGCATTTTCAGGGGAAACCAGTTAGCTGGATTTAAACCCTGGAAGTGGGAAGTACAGTGCCTAACTCTGAAGGAGGCTTGAGGATGTTACAGTATGGAGGGTCATTTTGAATTGTGATGCCTTACACTTCTGGCAAGACAGCTGTTGAATGAATGATGGTGAATGTGTTTGTTTTTGTGTCACCCTACCTCAATGAGAGACGGCTGATGTGTTGAAAAAAAATAAGAATAGCATCTTTTCTGGTTAACACCAAGTCTAGTATTTAATGTGTTTTATTCACACTTGTTGCTGCAGTAATGTGTTAGCCATAAAAATTCTACCATTACAGTGGGCAGTTTGATTGTGTGTTTATTTTCTGGTGTGGCTTCTGGGAAATTGTCAATTTTTTCATAAATGAACTGTCACGTTACATTGATTTTTTTTATGGTCACTTTTTTATGGTCACTTTTCAGCATTTTTTTTTTTAATATTGTACTGTACATTCAGTCCTTAATTAACCTTGCAGAATTTTTGTCTGATGCACGAGTTGTTAAATGGTGTTGTGTATGTATTTATAGTTTTGAGGTTTTCATCTTAATTTTACAATTCTCCTGCTAGGCTGTTTCTTCATTTATTGTCTTGGTTTGTTGGCTGTGTTTTGTGGTAATTTTTCTAAGGTCAGATAGTGTAGCAAGTATTTCTTGATCTATTTTCTATCGTTACATTTGTGATCACATTCATTGTAAGGCAGCTACATTTATATTGTTTTTTCTCTCTACAGATGGTGCTTGTTCCCAACTGACACACCAAAGGAAATGATTAAAGTAACTTCTGCAGAAGGCGGGAAGCAAGTAGATGAGGCAATAACATGGTTTTCAGTCATATATCCTCGTACTCAACTTCCCTCCTGGCCAGAGAAATACAGACCAGTAAGACTGACCTTGTGTTATAATGGGAAGTGTTGTGATGAATGGTTTGAAAAACCAACAAGTTGAAGATTGAGACACTTATGCAACATATGGGAATCTTTATTCAGGAAGAATGAAGATTCCCATATGTTGCATAAGTGTCTTAATCTTCAGTGGAAGGTGTTGCAATTTGCAATTTAAGGGTTATTTGAATTTTGATACGTGTGTGTTTTCTGGCATGACAGCTATTGAATGAATGACTTAGTTTACCCTACTACAGTGGGAGACGGCCATTATTAAAAAAGAGTTAAAATTATTTAGTGCCATTTTTCCGGCACTACACTAGCACGTGTCTGAAATATTCCAGTTTAGTTTTTCTGTATATTCTGTTGTGTATAACTATTTTAGTGTAAAAATTATGTATAATTTTATTAAAAGGGGATTCACTTAGCTAACAGTATTTAATATACTAGAAGCAAGGATTTAAAAAATAAATGTCTTGCATTTTGATTGCAGTTAGAATTGATACAAGGGCCTGGGGAGACGGTGTTTGTGCCTGGAGGCTGGTGGCACGTCGTCATCAACCTTGACAGCACCATTGCCATCACTCAGAACTTCTGCTCTTGCACAAATTTTCCTGTGGTGTGGCATAAAACTGTGCGCGGCCGTCCGAAGCTTTCAAAAAAATGGCTTCGGGTTTTACGGGTAGGTCTAAAACTTGAGTCCACTACAGGAGCTCCTCAATTTTCAACTTCAAAATGGTGCAAAGGCAATCACTTTGGAGATGAAACTAAAAATAATTACCCAGCATGAAGGTGGCAAATCCATAACCTGTATTCACTGATTTACTTTTCAATGTTGGTATTTATAGTAATTATTTGTTTAATATATTTATAGATGGGGTTGTAAAGGAAGTAAATGCTAGGGTGTTCAGGAGAGGGGTGGGATTAAATTTTGGGGAATCAAATTCAAAATGGGAATTGACACAGTTACTTTTTGCTGATGATACTGTGCTTATGGGAGATTCTAAAGAAAAATTGCAAAGGTTAGTGGATGAGTTTGGGAATGTGTGTAAAGGTAGAAAGTTGAAAGTGAACATAGAAAAGAGTAAGGTGATGAGGGTGTCAAATGATTTAGATAAAGAAAAATTGGATATCAAATTGGGGAGGAGGAGTATGGAAGAAGAAAATGTTTTCAGATACTTGGGAGTTGACGTGTCGGTGGATGGATTTATGAAGGATGAGGTTAATCATAGAATTGACGAGGGAAAAAAGGTGAGTGGTGCGTTGAGGTATATGTGGAGTCAAAAAACGTTATCTATGGAGGCAAAGAAGGGAATGTATGAAAGTATAGTAGTACCAACACACTTATATGGGTGTGAAGCTTGGGTGGTAAATGCAGCAGCGAGGAGACGGTTGGAGGCAGTGGAGATGTCCTGTTTAAGGGCAATGTGTGGTGTAAATATTATGCAGAAAATTCGGAGTGTGGAAATTAGGAAAAGGTGTGGAACTAATAAAAGTATTAGACAGAGGGCAGAAGAGGGGTTGTTGAGGTGGTTTGGTCATTTAGAGAGAATGGATCAAAGTAGAATGACATGGAAAGCATATAAATCTATAGGGGAAGGAAGGCGGGGTAGGGGTCGTCCTCGAAAGGGTTGGAGAGAAGGGGTAAAGGAGGTTTTGTGGGAAAGGGGCTTGGACTTCCAGCAAGCGTGCGTGAGCGTGGTAGATAGGAGTGAATGGAGACGAATAGTACTTGGGACCTGACGATCTGTTGGAGTGTGAGCAGGGTAATATTTAGTGAAGGGATTCAGGGAAACCAGTTACTTTCATATAGTCAGACTTGAGTCCTGGAAATGGGAAGTACAATGCCTGCACTTTAAATGAGGGGTTTGGGATATTGGCAGTTTGGAGGGATATGTTGTGTATCTTTATATGTGTATGCTTCTAAACTGTTGTATTCTGAGCACCTCTGCAAAAACAGTGATAATGTGCGAGTGTGGTGAAAGTGTTGAATGATGATGAAAGTATTTTCTTTTTGGGGATTTTCTTTCTTTTTTGGGTCACCCTGCCTCGGTGGGAGACGGCCGACTTGTTGAAAAAAAAAAAAAAAATTATTTACTTAATCAGTGACAGTAGTTATTTACTTATTTAGCATATCGTATTCATATTCGACTTAGTGATTTTGTCAGAACATAACCCCATCATAAGTGAAGGAGCACCAGTATAAAAAAACATATACCCATTGCATCAGTATTTTCACCATTACAGAGAAAACAAGAAGCAGGCAGACTGCCTGCTTCTTGTTGACTCAAGTTGCAACATGCACAGTAAAGGTATATCTGCAGTGGAGCTGACATTGAATATAAAACCTCATTGATAAATTGTAGAAATATACAGTATATTATGTTTGTTATATTATGGATATGTACTGTATTGTTTTGTTTTTATTATAATGCTCAAACATTTTCAAGAAAAATAGTGTAACCTCATAACTATAGTAGTAGTTCCACCTCCCAGCTAAAGAACAAAAAGGCACAATACCGTGACTGGAACAATACACAAATAACCAGCACACAACGTTTTGGTCCAAGTCAGACCAGAACGTCGTAAGCTTCCCTCTCCTATGTGCGGGTTATTTGTGTATTATGCACCTCACAGTTGGCTTATGGAGAATCAAGATTCCAGTATTCCTTGTGCTGTATGCTCACACAGGTTTACAGCCTCACTTAAATGCAATAATAAAAGAAAAAAATAAATAATTTTCAGTAATTTAAATTACAACATTTTTTCCTATGCTCAGGAAAAGAAGCCAGAACTCGCTGTTGTGGCAGACAATACTGACACGAGTAAAAGTTCAGGCATGGCCTCAGATTCTTCATCAGATTCCTCTTCCTCCTCCTCCTCGTCTGATGATTCTTCTTCATCTGAAAGTATGTCGGACAGTGGCCAGGAAAGCTTACCCGAGCATAAAAAGAAAAGGTATGTATGTATAATGGGCATTGTCGCAGCAGTGTCCTGAGGGGTGTGTTCTTAATATGTTATAAAATTGATAACCTTTTATTGAGAGATTTTAGAGAACTTCAGATGCCAGTGAAAAAAAGTTTGATGGTTGTGTAAAAGTGATGAGAAAAATATAGGGTCAGTACAGCATTGTATATAAGAGGGGGATCTGAAGTATGGTGTCAGCATGCATCAGGGAAGACATTGATGATGAAAGTCAAGAGTGAATGCATTTAGATATTTCAGAGTGGATATATTAAGAGGGTTCAGTAGGTAGTTGGTAAGGAAGACTTTGCTCAGGCCAGGATGCAGGGGTAGACCCCTTAACACTAGTCTCAGCACCTAAAAACTGACTAGCCAGACTCAAATTTTTAAAACCGGATGTTGCTTAGACGTATTTTGATATTAAGTACAGTACTGGTAATTTTTTCCCCAGCTTTTCTACCTTGAAATCTGCTGTAAATGGCAGTTTTTTCTGTTTTATATAGCTTTTGATTTTTTTTTTTCCAAGAAATTGTGTATTGTGTACTTATAAGTAGCTAGTCATCCTATAATTTCACCAGAGGGAGTTACATTCCTCCAGGTCTTGTGAAACTAGAAACTGCAGATAATACAGAATTGTCTGCCTAATAAATTTTGTTCAGATTTGTTTTAATGTATTTGTCTTTGTAGTATAGCACTCAAATTTGGTTAATATTGACATCCAGTAGAAAGCCATTGAACAAAAAAAAGTTCAGTGGTTGAAATCTGTTTGCTAGTTGCTGACAATTTACAAGGATGGCTGTACTTGTGAATCAAGCATCTGCCTTTTATATACAACACCGATTTACTGGCACCTGATCGTCCAGCACGTCTTCTGGTCCGGACAGAATTACTGAGCTACTCTTGCCAAAATAGTTTGTGGTGGCCACAGATGGCGTTGTGTAGTATATGCTCATTGACATTGTTACACTGCATTTGTTAATGGTGATCCCTTGATTCTGTGCATTTCTTAGCATATTTTGCTAACAGTTAACCCTAGCCATGGCTAGTGATGATCTCTCCAGCTCTAGTAAAATTCTAAGATTGACCACTTTGGGAGTGGTAATACTTCAACAGTAATAAATAAATTAATTTCATTTATGCTAATGTTTAAGTTTCCAGCAGACAATAATGGGTCAGAGATCTGTTGGTCTGGCAAAGTGAATATACCGGCAAAGCCAAAGAACTAAGGATGCCAGAAAATTGGTTGTGTATCTGTACAGTGGACCCCCGGTTAACGATATTTTTTCATTCCAGAAGTATGTTCAGGTGCCAGTACTGACCGAATTTGTTCCCATAAGGAATATTGTGAAGTAGATTAGTCCATTTCAGACCCCCAAACATACACATACAAACGCACTTACATAAATACACTTACATAATTGGTCGCATTGGGAGGTGATCGTTAAGCGGGGGTCCACTGTACTTACATACTTTTACATACTTTCTTCATAAGCAATAGGAAAGACTTGAATTCTAATTAAAATATTCATTGCACTGCTTAATTATCAGCATTACAGGGGTTTTAAATTTTCTACCTCTTGTGATTTTTTTTTTTTTCTTCTTCAACAAGTCGGCCGTCTCCCACCGAGGCAGGGTGACACAAAAAAGAAAGAAAATCCCCAAAAAGAAAATACTTTCATCATCATTCAACACTTTCACCACACTCACACATTATCACTGCTTTTGCAGAGGTGCTCAGAGCACAACAGCTTAGAAGCATATACGTATAAAGATACACAACATATCCCTCCAAACTCCAAACTTGTGAAATATATTTCTGTAAAACCAAGTTTGTCGTTTTCTCTTTACAGAAGGAAGAAACACAACTCCCCACAGCGATCCTGAGGAAACAAGTGATAGCTCTTTGGAAAATTAGTTCTAGCTGTAGATTACCATACTCATTGCCCAAGATTATTTACCAGTTAAAGCATTAACTCTACCATATTATTAATCACACTTTTTCTATCTTATAGACAAGGAAGAAACGTAAAGCTTGTATTGTACACATGATAGGTTATCGAAAGGTCTTGGCAAGAGGAACTTTATTTATTCTGGAATATGAGTGGACGGGCATTAACAGTATAAAAGATTTTTAGGAAACCGAGCAGTAATCTAGGGATCATTATGCTCTTTCTTGTAGATGACTGCAGTTGCTCCATCTTTAATAACTATTTCTGCAGTTACTGTATGTTTAATGCTATATCTGATAATAATTGAAGTTGCTGTGTATTGATCATTGAAGTTTATGGAATCAGTGTCACTTTTAAGTATAAATCCAGTGCTCTAATGTTAAGTTATGATTGAATGTGTAATTTTAATACTACATAACTGTAGTCAGTTTTAAAATTAAGGTGTATTTGTAGGGGTGAAATATTCAGCTAGTTTATCCTCCTCATCCCTGTATGTATCTTTCTGTGTAGGCTGGCCCAATTGTGTATTTTTATATTTAACTAATGAATCTTAGCAGGAGATAACTTTAAATTGTAAGCAAATTTTAATGATTTTTCTCATCTTCCTCAGCAACATTATTATTATTATATTTTGGGGGAATTAGGTTTGATCCAAGGAAGGGAGTAGCTTCCCAAAGTTTAGTCAGAGTTTTGGTGTTCCCATAAGTTTGATTTAACTTCATTTATATATCATTAATATTTTACTGAAGAAATTCTTTGGAAGTTAGGACACATGTGCAACATCTGGATATCTTTATTGTAGACGTTTCGCCATCCAGTGGCTTTATCAATACAGATTCTAGGACATAATAGGAAGACAGTAGAACTATATACAAAAGATGAGGTAATCAGTCTCTCAGCCTTGGAGTTAGTGTTCACAGCATCGTGGTGGAGGAGAATATGGAGCAAAGGCAAGAAGACTGGCAGTTATATAGGCGTCAGTGGATAAGGACGGGCAGCAGACGAGGGCATAGTCACTGGTAGGCGGGATTCCCCAGTGGAAGTAGGTCCTTCCCAAAGAGATGGGTTAGTTGCAGTAGCCGTGAAGAAGGTCTTGTAGATGTCCTATGCAACTAACCCATCTCTTTGGGAAGGACCTACTTCCACTGGGGAATCCCGCCTCCCAGTGATTATGCCCTCGTCTGCTGCCTGTCCTTATCCACTGACGCCTATATAACCGCCAGTCTTCTTGCCTTTGCTCCATATTCTCCTCCACCACGATGCTGTGAACACTAACTCCAAGGCTAAGGGACTGATTACCTCATCTTTTGTATATAGTTCTACTGTCTTCCTATTATGTCCTAGAATCTGTATTGATAAAGCCACTGGATGGCGAAACGTCTACAATAAAGATATCCAGATGTTGCACATGTGTCTTAACTTTCATATTGTCGGTATTTTATACCTTTCTTACACAAGAAATTCTTTAACTTCCATAGTTTTACATAGGTGCAAGAAGCACGAGTAGAATATCTGTAAATTAGTTTTTCATGTATTGTGCTCAGAGAAGAGAATCTTGAATGAACGGTGAGTTCTAATGAGAGCTGTGAAAGGGAAGAACAATAATGTTAACAAGATGCATAGGAGGGAAGACCAGCTCAAATATTAGCAAGGTATGTAGGTGGCTAGGCTTCAGGAATTTTATAAAAATGTAAGTGGTTAATTCCAGTACGAATTCTGGGATATGTCGGTGGAAAGGCCAGAAGGAATTTTAAGATAAGTGGCTGGGCCAATAGAAGCATTAAAATATGTAAGTGGCTAGGTCAGTAGGTGTATTGAAATGCATAGGTGACTAATTCCAACAGGAATATTAAGATATGTAAGTGGCTAGACCAGTGAGAATATTAAGGATATGTTTCTGGAGAGTTTATCTGGAGAGAGTTCCGGGGGTCAACGCCCCCGCGGCCCGGTCTGTGACCAGGCCTCCTTAGGTCAGTGTCCCAGGATGCGACCCACACCAGTCGACTAATACCCAGGTACCCATTTTACTGATGGGGAACATAGACAACAGGTGGAAAGAAACACGTCCAATGTTTCTACTCTGGCTGGGAATCGAACCCAGGCCCTCACCGTGTGAAGCGAGAGCGTTAACCACCAGGCCACCAGTAGCTAGGCCAGGAGGAATGTTAATGTATGGGAGGCTAGGCCAATCAGGTATGTAAATAAGACACTTGGTACATGATACCGTCTTTGACCAACAAATAAGGTGCAGTACATTTAAGCCTACTAGGTAGTAAATATCACCCTTGCCCTATTCAGAAAAATTTGTTACAAAAAATGTAAGTAGAATATCGTAAATGTACGTGCCATGTCTACAACTCTTGTGAATCGGACAGTGAGAGAGTTTCGTTTAACATTTTGCTTTCGGTGGTGCTTTAAAAGTACAATCATTCTTACAAATTTGCAGGTTCTGATTATCCAACATTTTGACTTGATAAGCAACTCTGTAATAATTTATGCCGACAATTTTGTTTTAGTCACTCTACCTCTAGAGTGTAGTTGACCCCCTCAGTGATTTGCAGGGACAACTGTACTGACAAAGGTTCCACTGAAAGTGAAGCATAAAACAGTCTCTTTCTGTCCATGTTTTTAATTAATTTGTCGGCTTCTGCCCAAATTGAATACATTTCATGTGTTACTGTTCCTTGTTTGAGAGAACGTGATTATCCAGTATTATTGCATATAGTAGACTGTACAAGACCTTTCTAATTAGTAAATTTCTGAGATAATTGATATGTGGTCTTGTTTTGTTATGCCATTCCTAGAAGTTTTCAGTCAACCTTATTCAGAATTCTTTTAATAGTAAGATATAATTGGTGTTTGAGGAAAAAATATGGAAATACATATTAGCAATTTAACTGTTAGAGTTTGGGGGTGGGTAGCCCCAGCTGTTAGTTCCACCTCTTAACTTATGAACTGTATTATTTCCAGTATTCCCTTATAATAAGACTTTATCCTCTTGTGTTTTATAAAGAAATGTTTAGTGAGATGCCTCCCTGTATTGAACTGTATTATTGATTTTGGTCTGTCCTAGACCGCAACATTTAGGTTTTAGGTCAGTTCCTAATAGATTTGCATTTTTTATTAATGGGAAAGCGTTAAACCCCCAAGAGGGGGTTAGCGCTGAGTGTCCCACCTGAGTGTCCCACTACCCAGGGGGTAGTGGGACACTCAGGTTTGAGCCAAGGAAGGGGATGGTAGCTCCAATTCCTTTGATGAAGAGCCCTTCAAGTGTAATGGATTTGTAAGGGTTGATTACTGGCATTCATCATATTTAAGGTGCTTCTGAATGGTGCCCTTAAGTCATAATGCTGGAAATTAGATTTAATGAAGTCAACACGTCCTCCTAAGATAGTGTAAGTTTTTTTTTTTTTTTTTTTTTTTTTTTTTTTTTTTTTTTTTTTTTTTTTTCTTCCTGACTAAAAAGACTGGCTATACAGTGACTTGGACATTGTAATGTAAATGTTAGGATTTTAGTCATGCTTCCTCAGTCTTCTCTGGGGTCACATGTATGCTGTAAGTCAAAAATAGTCTCACCTGTATGCATGATTTCTTTTATTGATGTTTGTTATAGTTTAAATATTAATTGACCAACCTAATCTAAATGATTTATGTAGAAAGACTGGCTTAGGTAAATAAATTAAAAAAAATAATATTGGCATTTGGAAGACGTGTTAACTGCAATTTTGTGTGAAATTTGATGTCCATATTAAAATTTTCTTTGTGTTAATTTGGTCTTAACATTTATATTTAAAGCAGAACAAGTCTCTAAAGCTGTGTATGTTTGCTGTGATCTTCCATATAATTGTGGAAGGAGTGACACTGCTTTAGAAAATTGGCACAGTAACTAGGGAAAGACACAGAATGAGGCAAGAATCAGTGCTATTTTGAATTTTGTAATGTCATTACCAGAATGGTACGACATTCCTTGAGTTTAAATGCAAGTAGAGTATTCAGATTGGTATTTTTATTTTGACCACCCAATATTTTGGAACAACAGAAGCTTAACATTGTGATCACTTTGGTGTCTGACCTCAACCTAATGTACTTTCTTCCACTAATGTTTGTTCATCCGTCCATGCCATCCATGTTAACTTCAACGATAAGAGCTTTTTATAATCAGGCAAAGCACAGAATGGGTGGGGGTATATTGCAGGTCAGAGGGTCATTTGAATTGGAATGTATGTGCACTTCTGGCAACAGCTCTTGAATGAGTGATGGTGGATGTATTTTCTTTGACTTGCACTATCTTGGGAAAATGGCCAGTGTTAAAAACAAAAATTGACATGGCATGATCACAAGAATTCTCTTACATGTTTTTTTCATTTTTTTTTTCCATTATTTGTGTAGTATTCCACGATACAGGAAAAAATATAATAATATCTCAAGTTACCATATATTCTCTGAAGTTGTAAGTACTGTACTGTATATTACTCTTTAACGCTTAAACTGTCCAAATGTAGATCTATGTCCACGTGCGGGGGGCTCCGAACATAAATCTACGTTTTTTTACATGCTTTCAAATAGGGAAAATCAATACACAAATAACCCGCACATAAAAGAGAGAAGCTTACGACGACGTTTCGGTCCGACTTGGACCATTGACAAAGTCACACTAACAGAGGTGGAGCAGGACGGCTATATATAGGCCTTTTTGTTATTTATGGACCCCGCAGTTAAGCGTCATATTCTCTCCAACTTTTTTAATGTTCTTCCCTCTTTTAAACCCCTCTTTCCACCTCTTCCTGCCTATATATAGCCGTCCTGCTCCACCTCTGTTAGTGTGACTTTGTCAATGGTCCAAGTCGGACCGAAACATCGTCGTAAGCTTCTCTCTTTTATGTGCGGGTTATTTGTGTATTGTTCCAGTCACGGTATTGTGCCATTTTGTTATTTAGGGAAAATCAAGGTCGGAGCGCTACGCACGTGAACGTAGATCTACGTTTGGACAGTTTAAGGGTTAATAGCATTCACTGCAAGTGTTACAGTTTTAATGGTTTCTGTATGCCTGTGCAAAAAACCTTGAACTGAGATGTACTCTGGAAATATTTGTATTTAGATTTTGTTTTGAATATCTGTTTTATCTAGTTTAAATTCTGTTGCAAGTGTAATTTAACAAAGTGATCTGTATTGTGTGATTGCATTATTTTCACAAATAAGAAACTTGATTTAACTAAGCAGTACTGTGCTTATGTCCTTCAGTTTGTTTATGCATCCCATACCCTTCATGTTACTGATTTTCAAGATGGGCTCTACCAGTAGTAATGTAAATACAGTGGAACCTCTACTTGCAAGTTTAATCCGTTCCATGACCTTGCTCGCAACTGGATTTGCTCGTTTGCAGAGTCAATTTTCCTCATTTAAATTAATTGAAATGCAATTAATCCGTTCCAATGGAATTCTGTACTTCAATCCTCTTCAAGGGGGGCTCCTTGGCATGGTGAAGAGGCTCTTGGTCTGAGGAATTAGACCTGTCGGTCTTCCTCCTCAGACCGAACCTAATTACCCCCCAATCTCCCCTCCCCTATCCCATCCTCCCCTTTTTTCTTTCCTCCTCCTCCTCCCCACCTCTCCCTTTTACCCTTCCTCTTTTTGGCCTTTGGGATTTCTCCCACAGGCGCGCTAATTCCTAGGTAGGGGAAAGGATACCGGGGTCCATCCCATTCCGTTGAGGTTCTTGGCAGTGGCGTAGTTTGCCGTGGAATCTGGATCGCCTGGGGATGTCCCGATCCCTCTCCGGTATCCCGGAGTAGCTTTGGGTGTCTTTCGGGCGACGGGTGTATCTCTGGAAGCCACCTTTCGGATTCCGGGGGTGGTGGCCGAAGGAGGTATGCTTTGTGGTGGATATCCAGCCGCCCTCTCTTTTGTCCACCAAGGTAGCTCGGCAGATGTGAGGTTGCTATCCCGGATTCCTGGTTTACTGGCATGAAGGGTAGGGTAATGGCATGGGTTCCATGCTGCATCTGTGCTTCTAGCGGTGCTGAGGTCCTCTTGGGCGCGGAGGGAGATTTCCAGCCCTTTCATTCCTCCTGGGAACTATTCCTCCCTGCTCCCCCCTTTTTTTATTCTTTTCTTTATTTTTATTTTCTTTTTTTTCTTAAAAACAAAAAGCGAAGGAGTAACCTAACCATGGAGAACCCAATCCATGAACCCACTACCCCCGGGCCCCTTCTTGATACCACACCCCATTCTGACCCTGCCTTGTTTTTAGACCACTCTTTGGACACTCCTGATGCCCCTGTACCTCTTGCTGGTGCTGTTTCCTCACCCGCTTCAGGTACCGGGGCTTTGACTGACTCCTTCGATTTGTCTGAACTCCGCTCTCCTTTGACTATGCTTCCGGCTTCTCCCTCTAGGGTACGGCAATTTTCGAATCGCCCGCTCATTTCACGCCGGACCAACTCCGGTCCTACTCCTAAACGCCAACGTCAATCTCCTGATGATGCTCCTTCGTTACCTTCCCATTCTACTCGGAAAAGACTGACACGTCATGCACTCCCTCTCCACGCTCAGTTTCGGACCACACAATGGACTAAATTCTTTACTTTAAGACGGACTTCTTCTTCTGCCTACCTTTCTGACCATAGTATTGGCAAAGCACTCCTGCGTCATGTTGGTAGAGATATTTCATTTCATGCTCTCAAGAGCTGTACGCGCATCGTCACTGTCCCAGAATGCTACCCAAGCTCATGATCTTTCTCTCCTTTCGCATATAGATACTACTCCTATCACTATTGAAAAACATCTTTCTCTCAATTCTTGTAGTGGTACTGTCATTCTGCCCCATACCATAGTCCAACAGAATTTCCAGTCATGTGACAATGACATTCTTGAACAGCTGGAACTCCAGGATCTCCCAATCCTCAAAGTAGACACTTATGTCCTTCCTACCCGTGGGCGGAGACGTTACCCTTGCAATGTAGCTCGTTTAACTTTTGACAGCTGAGAACTCCCGTCCTCTGTATGTGTTGCGAGACATCGGTTACAAGTTCGAAAGGTGATACCTACACCGCAACAGTGTAGAAATTGCTGGCGTTTTGGTCACCCAGCGAAATATTGCAGATCTATGGCCGAATGCCCAGTCTGTGGTGCCGACGACCATTCTAATACATCTTTCTGTCAATCTCCATCTTGCCTTAATTGTAATGAAGCTCACCCTTCGTACTCCCGCCATTGCCAGGTCTACTTAAATGAATGTGAAATCCGTTGCCTCAAAGTGGCAGAAGGTCTCCCTTATGCTATGGCAGTTACTCATCTCCGCCTCCAAGGGAGACTACCCCGTGTTTCCTATTCTCGTGTTTCAAAACATCCCCCCACTTCTGGGGTCCCATCTTCTGCAGCCTCCTCTGTTGTTATCCCTCCCGTAGCCACTCCGGCATCTAATCCTTTTGCTGTCCTTGGCTCTGATGTCCCGACTACAACTCAGTCTGTTCTCACATCTTCGCGTCCTTCTTCACAAGCCCCAATATCGACAAGACCTCATATGACACCTAATACCAATCGCCCCTCTACTTCTCAGAAGTCCAAAAAATCCACATTGCTCAAATCTTCTTTGCCCCTTCCTTCCCTTCTTCCACCTCCACACTTTACCTTTCCAGTCTCTGTGCCTAGTTCTTCCCCTCTCTCTGGCTCTATTACAAGTGTGGAGATTCACCCTCCTCCTCGTACTATGCCTTCCACCCCCGTCCCCTCCCAAGTTTCTCCCTCTTCTGCCACCTCCCAGGTTTCGGCCTCTTCTGTCCCCTCCCACACTTCTTCTCCAGTTTCCTCCACCCTTTCGTCCCCCCCCTACTTTGGCACAATCAATTACTATCCCAATCTTTACTCACCCTCCTTCCATCTCCAATATTGTCTCCCACACGTCGTCTTTGCATTCCAAAACACTTGAAGCTATCTCTGAATATATTGCAGAGACTAAACCATCAATGAACACTGATCCACCCCCTGTTCCTTCTCTTTCCTCTCCTCCATCTACGCAACTCCTTTCTTTACAACGCTCCGTTCCTTCGCTACTTGAACGTTTTCCGCTGCCACAACATGTGGACTTTTCAAACCCCTCTAGTCTGTAGGCACCCATACCTGTGGATTTCTGGTATGTTTATTGTTATCAATCATGGCCTATTTACAGTGGAATATCTGCGGCCTCAGAGGTAATCAGGGTGAGCTTCAGCTGTTACTTTCCCAGTTTTTCCCTGTCGGTGTTTTCTTACAAGAACCAAAATTACACTCCGTGGTTATCTATCTCATCTCAGGCTATAATTTATTGTATTCTTTGGATCCTTTTTCTAATGGGACCTTTAATGAAAGTGCCCTTCTTCTATGCACTGATATTCCATACCATCAGCTATTTGTTCGTACTTCGCTGCATTACACTGCAGCCCGTATCCACTTGCGTAAGTGGTATACAACCTGTTCTTTGTATCTCTCTCCTTCTCGGGCATTATCTATCCTGGATGTTGCCTTTCTTGTCTCGTCCTTACCGCCACCCCTTTTGTTACTAGGCGATTTTAATGCTCGTCATTTCCTCTGGGGGGGTCTCGCTGCAATTCCCGTGGCATTCAGTTAGAGGCTGTTTTTGCTCCCCCATCCTCCATGTTTTAAACACAGGTACTCCCACCCATTTTGATCCTCGTACTCTCTCTTGTATTGATCTCTCGGTCTGCTCTTCCTCCGCTGCACTAGACTTCACCTGGTCTTTTCTGGATTTACATGACAGCGATCATTTTCCAATCATTCTTACTTCCCCTTCATATTCACCACCTCTTCGTAGCCCACGCTGGCAATTTGATCAAGCAAATTGGGACCTTTACTCACAACTAACTGCTTTTAGTGAGGTTCCTTCTTTGTCCTCCATTGATGAGCTTTTACACCTCTTCCTCAGTGTTAACAGCAGCTTCTCATTCTATACCCCAAACCTCGGGCAGGCATTCTCAGAAGTGCGTGCACTGGTGGTCTCCTGCTTGTGCTCGTGCAGTACGTTTGAAATGCGCTGCATGGGGCAGGTACTGGTACAATAGAACCACTGAGTTGATTTTAAGCAGAAGCATGACGCTAAACGCACTTCTGCTTCCTCTGAGTGCAGTCTGGAAAAAAGTACGGAAACTGAGTAGTAAATACTCTCCTGACCCAGCTCCTGTTCTGCGGGTTGCCGGTATTGATATAGCAAACCCTCTAGATGTCGCCATTGAAATTGGCAATCATCTAGTCCGCATTTCTCGGGGGCTCCATCTATGCCCCTCATTTCTTTCCTCAAAGTCTGCCAGGGAGTTAGCACCCTTGAACTTTTCTTCAGGAACTGGAGGCAACACTCTCAGCTTGCCGATCATCGGCAGCTGGGCCTGACGACATTCATATTCGGATGTTACAACATTTACATCAGTCAGCCCTTGTAGTCCTCTTACACCTTTTCAATCTTATTTGGTCACAAGGAGTTCTTCCCCAGCTGTGGAAATCTGCCATTGTTCTCCCTTTCCGCAAACCGGGTACTACGGGACATGATGCCTCCCACTATCGTCCCATTGCTCTTACCAGTGCAGTTTGCAAAGTGATGGAACATATGGTAAATCGACGTTTAATGTGGTACTTAGAGAGACAACAGTCTCTCCACTAGTCAATATGGCTTTTGTAAGGGCCGTTCTACCATAGACCCCTTAGTACGCTTGGATACGTATGTTCGTAATGCCTCTGCGAATAACCACTCAGTTATTGCCATATTTTTTTGACCTTGAGAAGGCATATGACACAACTTGGAGGTACAATATTTTGGCCCAAGTCCACTCCTTAAGCCTCCGAGTCAATCTACTATCCTTCCTTAAGAACTTTTTAACTGACAGACATTTCTGTGTTCGGGTTAATAATGTGCTCTCCCTGGACTTTGTCTAAGTTGAAGGTGTCCCCCAGGGATGTGTTCTGAGCACAACACTTTTTCTTATTGCTATAAATGATCTCCCCTCAAGGAAGGTTCCTTGATGGAAATAAATGGTATAAAATACCGACACAATGGAAATATAAACACATGTGCAGTATAATGTGATCCTTTATTGACTACGTTTCGCCCACACAGTGGGCCCACTGTGTGGGCGAAACGTAGTCAATAAAGGATCACATTATTCTGCATGTGTGTTTATATTTCC